CAAACGTAGCTTCGGCTATTAGTGATTTCTTCTTCAGATTTGGTCTGCCATATGAACTGCATTCAGATCAAGGTCGTAACTTCGAATCAGCTGTGTTCCAAGAATGCTGCAAGTTGTTTGGCATTCGAAAGACCAGGACAATGCCACTTCACCCACAGTCCAATTGGATGGTAGAAAAATACAATTGGACACTGGGACAGGAATTGGCAAAGTTTTGTAATAGCCGCCAAGATGACTGGGATGTCTTACTCCCTCCACTATTGGTGGCTTATAGGACAGCAGAGCATGAAATCACTGGATACACTCCAGCAAAGTTGATGTTTGGTCGGGAACTTCGGTTGCCAGTGGATCTGTTAACAGGACGCCCACCTTATGAAGAGTTGCCTGAGAATGTGTCTGAGTTTGTGAAAGTGTTATCAGAAAGGATGGATGATATTCAACTTCAAGTGCGTTCAAACTTGAAAACGTCTGCTGATTCGATGAAGTTATCTTATGATAAGAGATCTACTGAAGTCTGCTTTGTACCAGGAGACAATGTGTGGTTGTACAATCCCAGGAAGACCAAAGGGAAGTCCCCTAAGTTGTCTTCTCCATGGAAGGCCCATATGACATAATGGATCATCTCTCTGACGTGACTTTCCGGATAAAATGTGGTCGGCGAGGTAAGCCAAAGGTGATACTATTCACGTGACCTCGCTGACGCAACAATATGTATAGACAATAAATTATTTCTGTTGTTTATTGCCATTTCAGGAAAGGAAAGTTATGATAATCAATCTCTTCTCTTATTTATTTCCTGGGTTGACAAATGCTTAGTTAGCAATAATTTCTCACGCGTTTACCCATTTTCAAATAATTTTGCCCCCCAGTGGCACAGCGGTAAGTCTGCGAACGTGGAACGCTAGAATCCGGGTTTCGATACCCGTGGTGGGCAGAGCACAGATAGCCCATTGTGTAGCTTTGTGCTTAATCAAACAAACTACATATTTTTAAAGTGTTAGTTAGTTTTGTCATAATGATTTCTTGTGTCTTACATATTTTGTTTATACATTGTGAATTAAATCAGTATCTTTTAAATTTCATTAATTTTGTTCATTGTACAACATAATTTCAGAAACATCATAATTTCCAATAAACTCGTTTGTTGGACTCGTTCTCTTTGTTGCAGTTTGTCTAAACAAAAAAAAAAAGTTTGACATGAGATTGCCCTAATATTGATCAAATTAGACCTCAGATGAGTATAATGAACAGTTTTCCTTAAACGAATGTATAATATGACAAATTTTTGTGAAGAAGTTATTATTTTTTATTGTAATTCATATTCACTAGGTTACAACCTGAAACTAGCACAAGGAGAAAAAAAATTCAAAACTAGAGACAAAGTACTTGGTGGATGACATAAAATATCAATAAACATATTCATTCCAAGGATCTTGTATTAGAGATGGTTGTAATTTGACTAATTAATTGGGTAAATTGTGAATAAACTTGGAAGGAGAGAAACTTGAGTTTTTTGGTGGTTATACAGAATTGATGAAAGTGCTATTATTGTATTGATTCAAGATATATAAACCAGATTTGTAACATTATTTGCTGTTTTAAGAAAGGCTGACATCAGAGTGTATTTCAAAGATTAACATTATATCTTTTGAATGGTTTAATATTTTCAAAATAAGCACAAAAGTATCTTGTCTTGAACTGCTTGTTTAAGGTTTAATTATGTACTTTTTATTAAATATTAGAAAATAATGCTGTTGTTACTTTGTATTCTTGATATTAAAAAAAGTCCCAATATAATAAGTTTGATAACTTGAAAGTAGACCTTCAGAAAGTGCTTGAGTTATCATGTTTGTTCTGTTGTTATTTATCTGTGCATGGGATAAGTCCTGATTTTGATCTATTTGTAAATTCCTGTTTCAGTAAACCCAACTGCCTGTCCCACGTTGAATGAGTGCCTTGGATACCAGGGCTGTTTATTCAAGTTTGGTAATGAGTTTTGTCAGCAAGACCCAGCTGCTTCTGTCCGTAAAGTATTGAATGTGAATATCACGTGCCTTTATGATGAGAGTTTCTTTTCTCAAATCACAGACTGGAAAGTTGAACAAGCAGAATGGCATGAGCGTACCAAACAACTTTTGTCTCTTTATTATAAATCTCGTGTAGAACATGGAATAAGAGATTATGCCAGAACAGTCATTAATAAATTAGTATTACAAGAAGATGACATTTTTAGTTTTTCTTGTCCCAAACTAGGAGAAGCACAAGAAAAAGGGTAATTTTTTTTCATTTAATGTCTACCTTCTTCCTGTTCCTTTCTATCTAATTACCTTTAATTTGTACAAGTACACATATAGTTCTCTTGTTTTTATACATGTATATACATATCAAATCAATATTTGGTGGTGACAGTCTTTACATTACTTAGAAGATGAAAACATTTTTTTTCTTAATGTAAGCTGATTTTAAATGAAAATGCTTATTAGTAAAATTGTTTTAATTACTGCTTTCACTGTTAGTATGTGCATATACTGGGAATGATAATGATTAATAAAAAGAATACTGATGCACAGGCATATCGAAAAAAATTTGGAACCCCAGTAAATCATGTTGAGTGGGAGTACCTATGATATGATACCACTTTTCATGCCCACCCCTGTTATCGCCATTATTTAGTAGATTTTCCTGTAGCAATTTGAATCTAAAAGCTATTTTATACATGTTTTTATACCTCAAAAAATCAAAGTAGTGAAATAATGCATATTTGTTTCAACTGTATTTTAAAAAATTACTTAAATTCTGCATAATATATTATCATTTTTTAAAACTGTTTTTTGGAACTTAGTGATACAATAAAAACACATGTACACTTGTCTTTCTCCATTGTGATAAGTGAAAGCACATTTATACTGTGTGTGTGATTTATGCCCAAATCAAGTATCAAATATATAATTAAATCACATATGAATAACTTCATTAAAGTGTCTTTTTCTAATTTTGTTCCTGTTACATTGTAAGATACATGGGAGAATGTGGATCTGAAGCTCCTGATGCTGAAAAAACTAGTGAAATGTTGTGGAATGTTTTGGGAAGGTAAATGCTTATGGTTTATAGGGACATTAAGCCTTGATTTTAATGATTTGTGAACTGAAATTACACATTTTCTACCCTTTTGTTTAATGCACCGTAATGTTATACAGAACAAAATTAAGATCAAATGGTAATTTGGTATTAGTTTAATGTATTATAATATGGTATGGTGGATGCAGTAAATTCATAATAGATTAAGTGAAGGTTTCATAAATATTTAAATGTTAAGGATTTGAGTTTTATATATATATTTAGTTTGGAGGATGGAACTGCTTTGATCGAGGGGTCAACAAGCCCCTTGTTGTCCTTAAATGTCATATTATGAAGAATATAATATTAGTATGTTGATTGTTCCCATATTTGAAAAACATTTCAGCTTAATAATTCCTATTAAACATTCAAACATCATATTTACCATACAACATAATATAAAGATAGGTAATGGCATACAGCATTGTGTATAACTCCATAATGTAAGTTGACTGTATAATTGAATAAATAACTTACCAAAGTAAATAATCTAGGTTTTATTCTTCTAAAAAATTACACTTCTTGTGCTAGAATAATATTTTGAAGTAGGGTGTCCTTTTTTATACATATCAAACTACTAATAGTCTTTGAATAAAATACTTGATTATTCAAGTGTGGATGACACTTTTTAAGTCGAGGTATGTTTCATATTTTTTATTCATCTGTTGTAGATAATGAAGTAGTAAAATTACATATATTTGTCTTGACTGTAATTTTAAAAAATATTTCCCATTCTGCCTGATATGTTCTAACTTCTTGAATGTGTTTTTTTGCAACTTTTATGGTATAAAAGTGTTCTGTCAACGACAATTCATTTTATAAGTCATTCACCCTGTTAGGAAAATACAATTGGCACATAGTCTACCTTTTCCAGATCTTAAACTTGTGTCCTCTCATCCTGTTATTTTCAGAATACAGCACAAAGAAATCACAGGTCTTTATCCTATCAATCTCCTGGATGATCTTGTAAATTTCAATAAGATAATCTCATACCAAAGAGAAATTAAGCTATCTTATCTCATCTCTGTAAGATAACCTTACCATCTCAGAATAATTTTTTTACCCTGAATTACTGATGAATACATTTATCTCAATAGTAGCCAGAAAATTTCCAGAGGATATTGTTTTCCCAGTAAGTTGATGTTTTTTAGGAGATAAAAATGAACTGATATATGTTTTGAAAAAGCTTATCTGCTCTAAAAATAGTTTCTGTTAAGTTTTATTAAATTCATTAATATAAATGTTGATTGATGAGTTGAAACTTGACAATAAAACATTGAAATTTAGAAAGTGCTGGCTAGAAATTTTATTGTGTTTCATTAAAGATATTGTTTGAAGATAAGGATTCTCGATTAAACAAATAAAAACTGACACATATTGAAATTTCACTTACAGAGTTTCAAATGCCCAGTGCCGTGAAGAAATCCAGCAAGTTTTTTGTGCATACAAGTACAACTCTAGAGGTGCTTGTTTTCCACCTTTTCTTATAGATCACAAGGTATCTGGGATTCTGTTATACATTTTTAATATGTGTGTGCACCATTTAGTTTGATGAAAAACTTTATTCTGACAAGAACTGAATTTGTTTATAGGTATTTTTAGGAAATTGTGACATTTTGAGTGTTTTAGCTTGGGTCTTTTACATCCCTTAATGAAAATCCTGTAAACCAATAGCACTAGTCACAAGTTGCAATGGAAAATTGGGCCCCATCTAGTAAGTATATTAAAAGTATTCTAAATTATATTAGAAAAAAACAACATAAAATAACCATTGAACAAAAACCAACAGTTTTATATACTGAATAATTTTAGTTTAACATGCCTAAACTGCCTTTTTTCAATAATTGCACTATAGAGCAACAAAGACAGCCATTCATCCTATTCATTCCTTAGTTTTGTATCTGTTGAGCTCGGTACATACTGATACACACTCGGAGACATCCTCTAACCCACTAAGACCAGTAGCAGTGATCAATTGGACCCAGTGGGTGTTTACAGTAAAATTGTCAATTGTATTGAATCTAATTTCAAACATTTAGTTTGATACCTTATCGATGAAAACAGCAATTGAATGTTATCTGACAAAAATTATTTTTGATTTCTTAAATAAAACCACCTCATCCTTATCTTTCTGCAATTGAGTCTGATCTATGCAGAAAGAGACAAGAACAAGACTAAGGAGAATAATTTTTATATGAGGCATTATGGTGTTATGGAGTTTCTGGAAGGATCATGAATTTGCCCAGCAACTCTAGTCTGATCGAGATGCCCTCTTTTTAATATATAAGCCTGGTGAGAAAAACCAGCGGGATTGAAGATATAGATAATTGAGTCAACCGACCAGTAGTGATGGTGAGCCGTAAAGTGTGTGTGTGTGTTTTGCAGTTGTTGCATAGAGCGAAGTTATCGAGCTTGTGAATTGCTGTGATTTATAGCGTGTATTATAAAAGTTGTTAAGTTTAAAAAGACAAGAAACATATTGAATGTGGTAATTCTGTGTATTACAAAGTTGTATCGAGAAAGAATAAACTGGGTTAATCGAGAAAGGACTTGTATCGCTGAAGTGTCTCGGAAAGAATTTCTAACAGAAATTAACAAACAAGCTAATACGTAACAATGGGTATTCTTCTCTACAGTTCCATGCATCCTTATGAAGTTACTGAATGTTTGCATCATGAAACACCAAAGGTTGAAGAATGTGAGGCATTTAAAAATTTTTTAAATTATTCAGAGATTTTAACAACAGAACTGCTATGAATCCCAGTCTTATTTGCAACCTTTTCAGAGTTTTTTTTTTTATTAGATAAGCACATTTGAACTGTCCAATAGTACAAGAAATGATCTGACATGATTTAAAAATGTAGCACTGTAGTTGTTTTGAATATGCTTTTAAGATTCTAATAACAGTGAAGATTTATTAGTTGAGTATTAAAATGGTAATCTATTCCAAGTAAATAGGCATAACTCATGTGATAATAATGGTAGTTGATCTTAACTTTTGAAGCAGATTTCATCATTTGAGCCTTCATGTTATAGCACAGTGATATGCCAGTTGCAAAAAAAATAAATAAATAATAATAATTGAAAAAGTGGTGTTACATTCTATAAAAACTGAAAGAATAGTTTATCAGGAATATAGCAAAATATTGCTTAACTTGTTATATTCATACAGTATAATTGTATAATGCCAAATCTGGTAGAAACTAATAATGGTAATTGTAATTGTTATTCTAAATCTATTAAAAAAGATTTGGTAGAAAGTAATCTTACCATGATGCTTGAATGGATTTAGTCTTTACAATTTACACGCTTTGATATTACAGTATCTCATCAATAATTGTATAGAATTATAGAATAGAATTCTGGTATAGAATTTTCACAAAAACTTTACATGTTGTGACCTAAACTGCTTGAAGAAGCCATGGTCTTATATAAAAGACCTTATTGACAGTGACTAAATAATGAGTGTATTTACTAGATTTGTGCTGGAAATCCAAAATGGGAATGATAAGAAAGAAATATCCAAACTTTCTTGGCTGTCTTACATAGCTCGTGTTCTTTAAGCCTTGATTCTTGTAATGATATTTTGGGTTTGTAACATAATATTCTTGAATACTCCACTATTATTGTTAGTAATAACAATTTGGATATAGTATTTCAAGTACATATAGTTTTAGAGTTTAGTACTGATTTAATGTTCTACACAATATTGTAAGTTATTACGCAAATTGCATTCCAGCACATTATTTTTAAATGTGTAAATTTGTCATATTAAAAACTAATATCACCTCTTAACAACAACAACAACAAAAAAAAATTTGAAGTTATAGTATTGAGTGAAAATTAGTTAATATTGTTAAAAATTCATTTTTTAATAAAACAATGATTTTTTTACACAATTCTAAAAATGAGACTGTTCCCAGTCACAAAATTACAATAGAATACTAAATAACTTGCTGTATAGGGTAAAATACAGAAACCAGATGAGACTGGAAACAGTCTCGTACGCTCAACATGTTTCGACGTATTTTACTGTGTCATCCTTAGGAGTGCAATATTTTGCAAGAATAGCACTTATTTATACCATTAAAAAATCACCAATTTACATATTAAAGAATTCACACCATCTGCTGACAACATTTTC